TTAGAGTAGTAAAGTAACATTAGAAACAGGTTTGAGTGAGACGTTGACGCTAACAATGAGTACCTGCGTTCCGTCCCTCAGTCATACTCACCCTGTGTTTACTACTACTCGTCTTGTTCTGCCGTTTTTTCTCGACCACTATTTGCCTACTGATACCGCCGCTGCTTTCTTGTTTGGCAGGGGTCAGGGGTAGTTACTGGATTCCGTTGTGCCTAACGATTTGGACTGTAGTTATTTGGAAGTGTTAGTGATGCCCTACACTCTGAGTGAATATACAGAAATGCATTATTTCTACGGCGTTGCACAAGGCAACGGTCGTGAAGCAGCAAGACTCTACAGAGATCCACTTCACGCCTACCTCATACAAAAAGTACAGGCGTTGCAGCCTTCAGATTATCGATTGAGAGTCGAGTTCTGTAGAACTATGTTGCAGAAAGAGGAAGAAGATCCCGGATACTTTAATAAAATCTTGTGGACCGGCGAGTCAAGATTTGAGCGAACTGGGGTAAAATCTTTAATTTTCACTTTTGGGCCGTTGAAAATCCACATGTGGCCAGACCATCATCATTTCAATATCGTTTTAGCGTGAACATGTAGTCTGGTGTTTTAAATGGCGAATTAATAGGCCCATTTGAACTGCCATCGAGATTAGACGGCGACACATACAAAAGTTTTTTAAAAGGCAATCTACCCAAGGTACTGGAAGATGTAAATCTTGAATTAAGAAGAACGATGGTGTTCCAGAACGACAGGGCGCCATGTCATTACGAGACACAAGTGCGTCGCCATTTAGACCAGACCTACCCCAACAGGTGGATCGGACGACGAGGGCCAATTGCCTGGCCACCACGCTCGCCTGACCTCAACCCTATTGATTTTTTTTATCTGGGGCTACTTTAAAGAAATTGCGTATGCCAGAAGAAGCTTCGAGTGAAGAAGAACCGAGAGCAAAAATTCGCGAAGCTGAAACCACTGTGAAAAATGACCGTGAAACTTTTAGGCACCTTAAACATAATTTTCTGCACAGATGTAGATTGTGTATTTTTGTGGGAGGACGAAATTGTAAAAATTTTCTTTAATAAATGTATTTTGTTAACAATTTACTGCGTTTTACTCAAATCCATCATAACTCATAGAAAGTCAAAGATTTAAATAAAATAAAATAATTATTCTTTTTCCTTTGAATGTGTCATAATTTACTTTGAAGGTCAGTTACAAAAAATAAACCCCCATTAACCCTATCTTTATTTGACCTTGTTTTAAAGTTTAATGTTTCAGCAAGTTTTTAAAAGCACTTTGACTCCAAATCCCCCCCCCCCCCCCCATTTACATTTTTTTAGATACTTTGAAAATTTGTGTGTACTGAGCTCAAATCGTAATTTTGAACTTTCGAACAAATTCTAAGTAAATTCTGCAATGCCTAGATAAACCATAAGTGTTATGGTGCTAGGTAAGACTATGTTTGTCAGTTATCACAAAAAAACTGAACCAGAAACATCCAACAGAATGAGAAAAAAATCGAAAACTGATGTTAGGTGAAAATTACGAAAAAATCATTAAAAAATTATAACTCGAAAACTACGCAAAATCGTAGAACATACATGGGGGTGATTTGGATACTCCTCATCATAAAGTATCTTAATTTTACGCTTGAACGTCAACTCCCCGGCCACCCTGTATATCATATTGTGGTGCTCATGCTAAGGGGGCAGATTTCTTAATTTGTTTTAAAATACGACTGATAACAATTTAACAGTATGAAGGAGCGGGATATTGTTGTCTTTCGTTATTAGGTCGCGCGCGTTATATGCGTGATGATAGCTGAGGCCCAAACACGTATTTTGACAGCTCTGTAATAGTATCGTCGTCGTCAAATTTTGTATGGAAAGAGTCAGTTTGTTCTTACGTCCGGTAGGTAGGTAGCTGTTACGCTACTTAGATTTCATATAAACTTTTTTAACACATTGGTGAATATTGCTGCTCAATGCATTTACAGAGGTTATGGTTATATACATTGTTCGAAAGTTCAAAATTACGGGTCATACAACGGAGCGTGCGGAAAACGCTCCCATAAATGGCACCGTACGTATCCTTTAAGGTCTTTTTTAAAATTTCGATCGAACCTCTTGGGAGCGCTTTTAATCTATACCTTTGTCTCACTTTAATAAAAAGAAGAAAAAGATACGAAAGATGTAGTTCTAATTTTATCGTAGTCCGCTAACACGAGGCACCACATGGAAATGCGTGCCATTTTCTCCTCAGAAAAAATTTGCTACATTGCTTAAAAATATACTGTTTCCTCGCAAATGTGTTGAAAAACGTTGTATGACATTTGTGTGGATTGGTATTTAGAAACTCGTGACTATGGTTAGCGTCTTCTCGTTTGTAATAACCTACTTACCGCACTAATATCATAAATAACTATACTTCCAGACAAATCCATCGGTCCACTTAGTGTTATAAGTTTTTAATGGTCTGTAGCAAAAAAAAAGGTTTATGGTTGAGCAATAATTTTAAAAACACATGGAAAGACGTTTCATTTTCCAGCTTCAAAACTGCATAGGTTTTTTTTTCAATGTAACATATCTGTTTAGCTTGGGACCGTCAAAACTTAAAATGCTAGGTGGGTCGATAGACGTATCTGGATGTGTATTACGATGCGATACAATTACGAAGCTATCAAAATTCGTGCTTCGGCCTCTGATTCGTTACCTATAGAAGCGTTGAACAGCACCTCTATTATTTAAATCTGTGATGGTAACCGTGAGGAGTTTCTTCACAAAATTTTATAACACTATCATAATATAGCAGAAGTAAGTAGTGATCGGCTGCTATAGTTGAAGTAACTTTTGCAGTGGTCGGTCCTTGGATGGGTAACCTAAACTTTACTATCTCGAGCTTCTCCGTGGGAGGCACGTTAAGCCGTTGGTCGCGGCTGCATCTGCGGTCAATAGCACCCACCAATCCCCACTGAGCCTGCGTGGTGGGTCATGGCCCAATCTCCCTATTCCATCCATAGGGAAACCCTTTGCCTTAGCAGTGGGGAATATTCTGATGATGATGATACCAATATTTATTATATTAATATCACGTATTGTATAGCAGCCTGACGTTGATTCTCGTTTGTGTCAGATGTCCGGGGACTCATGCACGTGGTCGGGCCAAGACTACACCAGCAACGAGCCGGTCGACAAAACCGTAACGCTCAACTTCCAAGACTCGGACACCACCATGCAATTCTACGATAGTTGCGAGGTATGTCTGTTTTTACTGTACCCTTAGTACGAGTTTGAGCTCACGGAAACTATCATAGTTTTCGTAATTGTAAATTGTGTTTCTATGTCCATATTGGTGAAAAGTAACCAAATGTTCTTAAAATTTAAGAAGACACAAATGATGTAATGATAGAATTTAAACACTGTTTAAATATTATATGTATCAATACAAATGTATTGAAACGAAAACAATAAAATCAGTACCCTTAGTAAGAGTGCGAGCTCACGGAATCTATCATAGTTTTCGTAATTGTAAAACTCGTACTAAGGGTACTGATATTATAAAGAGGAAACACTTGTTGACCTGGGACTTGTTTTTAACCGTCGAAAAACGAAGGAGGTTCTCAAGTCGCTGCGTATATATATATATTTTTTATGTATATGATAATCCTTTTTTCGTTAGTAAGGGTATGGTCCGGAAGTTGGTCCCATAAGAATTGGGATTGAAAGGGTATGAAAACAGGGGATGATCGATTGTTCACTCATTGATTGTGATTTATGACCACATAACTTTTTACAGTGTAGTCTGATTTTGAATCCTATCCTAAGGGTGGACAAATAGGGGTGAATGTTCACTCAAAGATTTTGATGCCGCAGTTGTATATTACAAAAATCTGATTAGTCACAAAAAATTATAAAGAAAATACAAAGAAATTAAACCCCGTAAAAGAAAAAATAATAAACCTTTTTTATTTTTAGTCAAATTAATATTAGGAGTCGCTGAATTGCATCTCTGATAGATCTCAGTTCCCCTTTACTACTTGGCACGGCACCGATTCCAAATAATAATGTGACTAAAGATAAAAACGTTTATAACTTTTAAGATTTTGGGCGGTTAATTTGTTTTGTTAAAAAGTTCTTTTGATCTTGGTTTATCTTTATTAAAGTTTGATATTATAAAGTGCAATATCCATATATGATCGAGTTTGTTGCCATATACATAGGTATGCCTCAAGTAAAAGTTAAGACACACATGTTAAAAAACTTCTATACACATTTACTCAATGACAGTATGGCCTTAGTCAATCTTTATATTAAAATCAAAGTAGGCAAACCAAGCTGCAACAGGAATAAGAAAGATCCAGGCCCATGTCAACAAACAAATATAAGATATCCTTTCCTTTGTTAATGCTGATACGGTTGTTTTTGTTTATTGTACTATCGCAGTATATCTAAAACCGGGTCTGCAGTGTGTGTTTTGCCCTACACAGTCAACAAAAACATATCAAAATCGTCTATACAAAACTTTGTTCCACTACACATAATATTTTATTTGTTTGCATCAACAATTTTTTTGCTTTCCGAGCCCGATGGAAAACACGTACACAAATCCCCCCCGCACGGGTCGAGGAGCAGGGTATTGTTTCATGGGCCATTTTTTGGCAACTCGTTAGAGTGGGCTCCGTTCCAAACCCACGCTCCGAGTGAAATTTTTCACTCTGACGTTTAAATTTTGACATAAAATGTACGAAACTTATGTCAAATTTGACATTTGTTGCACCTGGATCGTAGTTTTTGAAATAGCCCTTTGTATTTCTTGTACGATAGCCACGTGTGTAGAGAAACAAGTTTCAGAAACAAAGTTTTGTGTACCTATGTGTTTTTGTTGAATGTTTTCAAAAAAGTTTTGCTAGAGACTCGGTTTTACTTATACACGTCTCTAGTTCTAAAAAAAAGCTCCATAGAAAGGTAAATTAAATATTGAATAGTATTGTCTTGTTACAGACCAGTAAAGCCGCCACGTATTCATCAACAGATCAAGAAACATAGATAAATATAAGTATTGTAATTATGGCTTAATATTAAAATGGTATAGAACAAGTGTGTATTTAATTTTTACAGTGTTTTATGTTAAGTTATTGTATAAACATGTTAAATATAATGTTTAGGAGTTTTTTTGTTGGAATACATTTTTGTTACCTGTTTTTTTTTGACCGTCTAGATCTCATGAACGAAAAACCTTCAGTTTTATTGATTAAATCCTAGAAATTAATTTGTATTGAATATTATTCTCATGTGACATCAGTATCTTATTTTATTGCAATTTAACGTAAATAAAAATCGTTAAATTTATTTTTAAATATATTTGTAAGCATAACTATTACATGTATCATGCAAATGTTCAGGGCCGGACTTAGAGGTGCGGAGGCCCCTAAATCTGGGCCGACGACTTATGATTTGCGGTCCCTACTTGTTAAGTAACCTGTCGAAATTTGATTTTTTCATCTCTGTTGTGGGGAGAAGAAGGGTTTCTTGTGGAGGTCTCTTCCTGGGCTAAAGTGCCGCCTGCCCTGCATTAAATCCGGCACATGTTATAAAAATCTCAATAACTTCTCTTGGAGAATATAATTGTTCTCAAGTTTTGTGTCAAAAGCAGCAATAAAATTGTTGTCATTTTATATTAAATGCCTGCCACGAGAACACTCGATATTAGATTGATAACTCCCATTTAAAATAATAATTTTAGTAAGAATTGTAGATACTTAACATTACATAAAAAAGAGATCTAACCAATGGTTTACCTAACTACCTAGTTTATTATTCATAAAAGACATAAATGTTAAATCTTCAAAGGTGACTTGACGTTCCTATTTGGTTAGGTCTTTTTGTATGCAGACGCTTGTATTTATAAAGTTACGACTGATAGTTGCTTCATTAACTAATATAACATAGTCACTCGTGGCTTTATTGCGATGTCATAAATTTGCGAAAGCCTTATTTACGGAATTCATTAATGGTAAGTTGTTGTGCGCCCGAGTTGTGATTGTCGCGTTTTATTAATAATTATGAGCAAAGAAAACGTTTTAGTATCACTCTACCATTATGAATTTTGTGAATGTTAAATAAATAGCAGTTAATTATTATAAAACTGTGAAATTTAAATGAGAAAGGGACTTGTTACCCTTTGTTTTTAATGTTTTTGTTTATAAATCTTGTTTGACAAGCGAATGCAAATAATTTTATTGCAAATGTAAATCTGTCTTTCCATTTCTCATTTGAATTGTGATAATTATGAAAAAATATTATTGGAATTAGTGAAATAAAAGGGTGAGTAAAATCATTTTTGTATCTTTATTGTTTTATCGAAAGCTTACCCGTTAGATGTTTGAACATCTATTATCCTTATATAATTCAGATATATTTCATGTAAATCAGCTTTAGACCATTCAAATTATTATTTTTGGTAGATAGATTCACCAACAAGCTTCATTATCGCTTGTTCGTCAAAATTCTGCTGAGACTGCACAGCGAGGCGAGGATAGTAGATGATAAATGGTGGACGATGCAGGCAGTCTGCAGAGGTAGTCTGAGGATTGAATATTGAAATCACGACATTGGTAAAATTTTATACTGGGCAAATCGGCAAGATTTTTCATTAATTCGTCAAATTATGATAATTGTCAAATACGCCATTGGTCAAATCCACGTTAAGTTGCTGTAAGAAGTTTATCTAGACGGAAAATACTGACCAAATAGAAGCAGAGTCCGAGGTGCGAGCCATATTATGTCCTCAGTTTCTTCCTGTCAACAATGTTTCATTTTATTTGATTTTACTTCAATAATTTTAAAATTCAATATAAATAATACATTATTTATGTGGCTTCGTTTTGTAGTTTCAGCCCCGCTCTCCTGTAAATATAATAAATTATATCAATGAATTTAATAAATTAGTTCTTAAAAATATGGGTACCTACTGTTATTAATTTTGTGCTGTTTACTGTACTTTAATTTCTTGTTCATTAGCGTATTTAGCAAAGAACCTAATTTGATGAATTACCAATTTGTCTTAATTTCTAATTTGACGATTTGACCAATATCAAATTCGATAGTACTCGACGGTGATGATTTCTTCTGCATAATCTCAGTTCTTATTTCATAAATAATAGAACAAGGTATTATACCTGCAAAATTGTTTTTGTCTTTTTTTAAGAAAATAACTTATTGACAATTTGACAAAAAGTAAAAAAACAAGTCAAAATAAATCATTTTAATAAGGTTATGATTTGAATACGTGCTTGTTTTTTGTACCTTTCATTAAATACAAAATGACTTTAATTGGTTCTCATCACATTTGTTACTGTATGTTTATTTATGTGAATTAAATTAGTTTAAAAGGATAGTTTAAAAGAAGTTTTGAAATCACAAGTTTTCCTACAGATTTCATTTTTACGGTACTTTTCCGGCAACTCCACACAATTCTCGAATCTAAAGATGTAGAAAATTACGTCGAACCCAAGCAAGAGCAAGTGGTGATGAGAGCTGTGTTTATTGACTGTGAACTAAATGTGAGTACCTAGGTAAACATAGAGAAGTTAACATCTAAAACCTTTTCTGGTAGGCCAAGTACCATTCGCATTAAATACTTATACCTTACCTTTAGTACCTACTTACTATGTTAAATCGCCTTGTCGTGTACCTATGCGGCTCCAAGCACAGACATCACATAGGTATATTTAATATTTCATTAATTTACAAGTTGTATTACGGCCAGGGGCGTATTTACTCGAGGGGCAAAGGGATAACGCTAGACCTCACATCTTTAGCAACTCCGCAAAAATGAAGAGAGTTTGACTGGACGCTGTTAATGCATCCGTCGTGTAGTCCTGACCTTGCACCTTTAGATTTCCAATTGATTTTGTCTCTTCAGAATTCTTTAGGTGGTGTCAGGAGAGGACTGCTAAAACGTTTTTTGATCAGAAGCCCCAAAATTTCTATAGCAATGGGATCATGTCCCTGCCTACAAGATGGCAAAAAGTTATCGAACAAAATGGCATCTACATACTTTATTTATATGTAAATAAACTTTATTATAAAATGTTTTGAATTTTCATATAAAATGCGAAGATTTTTTTTTCTCCAATTTAATATATCTGAAAGAACGATTTCAAAACAATAAGGTAGATTTTTTCTTAAATGTTCGTATCCCTGTAAACAAACTTGTTATTTTCTGAACCAATCTTATTTGACTTGACAAATTTTGCCGCGTTCCCGTGACATAAATAATAATTATTTGGAGTTTCGCCTATTGACTAAGGGTTTCCCTATTTGTTTACCAATGTTTTTATAATGTCAAGGAATCGAAAGAGTTTCTAAGTTACATTTACGATTTAAAAAGGGTTTTCGCAAATTCAAACCTTTATTCCAATTTTATCCTTAACATCTATTGAAAATAAAGGTAAAATTTCAAATATCTTTGATTGTGTTATCAGAAGGTCCTAAGTGCAATTACGCAACCTCTACAAAGGAAAACTGTTTTGACATTTTTAAGCAAATTGTCGGGCAAGTGGGCCAGGAATCAATTGGTTCTATCGTATATGTGTCACCATGATATCGAGATTAATATTGAAAAAGTTATTTAAGTAATTACTAGTCGAGTAAATTAAAATAATCAAGCTGCATTTATTTCGTCATCTTCTTCATCACTTTCTAGTAAGGCATCCAGAACTTGAGCCTCATTTGGAACTTGTAAAATTAAATATTTTGTATGACAACGTTAAGGAATTGTTGTAATGTCACAAAAGCACTTTTTAAATATTTGAATATAGCGACTGAAATCGGTAATCTGCTTTGATACAGAGGTGGTGGTTTAGTATCCTTTACTTTCTTCCAGTTCTCATTCTTGTCATTACATTGGGCTTTGTTCTTTCCCTTTCTCTTACCTTTTCAATTATTATGCTCAGTATACATTTCTGTTATTGTTTCTGACTTCATCAAACATTTAATTTGTGAAGTTTTTTTTAAAGTTGCCACTTGGATTTCCTTAGTTCTCATTTTGTTTGCCGTCTCTCGTAAAATCATCAGTATAGCCGAGAAAAACTATCTCGGTGTATTTATTTTATGTTTTTTGGTCCTCGTGTAAAAAGTCCGTTATGGAGTAAACCCCAATTCGCCTTTAATTGTCGTAAACGACAATTGAAGCCAGAGGGGTCGAATACATAGATATTATATTAAATTGTCGTGAACAACCTTTATTTATACAATTATTTAATTTTTGTTAAAAGGAATACATAGTTGTAAGTACTAGGTCTTAATTTATGTTATATTGTCGTTTATAACCTTCTAATGTTTTACTAGCGGCCCGCAATCGCTTTGCTTTGGAGGTTGTAGAGCTGAAGTGTAGACTACAGTTTTTGTTCTCAGGCTTGTATCCAATGACATTCATCTATGATTCTTCTTATACCTGCATGCAAAGTCTCAGCCCGATCGGTTTAAAATTGACAAAGTTTCATATAAACTTTCATTCCCTATTTTATCCCCTTCGGGGTAGAATTGATCAAAATCCTTTCTTAGCGGATGCCTACGTCATAACATCTACCTGCATGCCAAATTTCAGCCCGATCCGTCCAGTGGTTTGGGCTGTGCGTTGATAGATCAGTATGTCAGTCAGTCACCTTTGAGTTTTATATAAAAATATAGATTTTAAAAGAATATAGGTAGTTGTAATTGACTTATGTACCTTTGAATTTACACATCAAATTATCTTTTATGTCCATGTTATGAAATTGATCTTGCTATAAGACAAAAAAACATTGGTAGTAAACGAGACATATTTTTAAGATTATTTTAAGTTGAAAAAGACATCTGTCTATTTTAATTAAAAAAAATGCATCTTTCACTCAATGTGGCCCAAAGTGGCAAAGTGACAATTTAGGCCAGGGTCGATATAGTGGCATTCGTATCTTGACCTATATTTTGATGCGATTTACTAATTCTAGAAGCAGTTAGTAAATCAAAATACACTTCCTTTTATGGCTGTTCTACTCGGAAACGCTAATTTACGTGTTCTGCTTTATAGGACAAAGGGCTTACTAATATTATAAATGTGAAAGTTTTTATTATTGAATGTCTGCGACTCAATCACGCACAAAGTACAGAACGGATTTGCATGAAATTCTATATGCCTATAGTTTATGACCTGGATTGAGACATAGGATACTTTTTATCCCGGAAAAGTGCTAGGTTCCCGTAGGATTTTCAAAAAACTAAAGTTACCGTGCACGAATTCGCGGGCAGCCTCTAGTATTACATAGATATGGCGTGTCGTGACAGCCTTTGAAAGGATGGTCGACATACCTACTGGAGTACTGGAGAGTAGGTAGGTAGGTAATTACTAATTAAACATGGATAATTTAGTCTGCTAATCTAGAATGAACACAATTACAGGACAGTGAGGGTACCTATTCCGATAGTGAGGCGACCCGCTTCCAAAGAGAGGAATTGTACAAACACAGTGTTCTTCAAGGCTGTCGTAAGAAGCTGGCGCTTACATTAAAACTTTCTAGCGTTCCTGAGGTGCATCCTACTTATATTATAAATTTGAAAATTGTATATAACAAATATACAATTTTCACAACCCAATCACGCAAAAACGGCTGAACGGATTTGGATGAAATGTAGTACACATATATAAGGAACTGGCAAACAAAACGGTATAATTACGCATCTGGTCAAACTACTTTTTTTTTACAGTCCGGAGGTTACGGACCCGTTGAATTTGAATCTCAAATAATTTTCGATCAAAGCCACCTAAAACAGTGTTAAATAAAATTACTTATAAATTAAAAACCATGCCTAAAGCTCACTGTAGGTATGTCATGCAGTTTTATACAGCTACTGTAAAATTTTATTTTATGTTATTATACCATTTTTTCTCCAGTTCCTCATATACTTACTTAGCTTATGACCTGGAACGAGACATAGGAAACTTTTATCCCGTTAAAATGTGTGGTTCCTGATGAATCCTACAAAATCTAAATTAGACGCGGACGAAGTCGCGTGCGGTTGTTAGTTTTTACCCGACTGCGCAATGCAAGAGCGCGACGCGCAGACAGGGTATAGTGTTTAACAGTCTATATATGTATGTTTGTTCCTTTGTGGCACACCAGAGACCAAACGCCTGGACCGATTTTTTAATATTTTTCTTTGTTGTTAAGAGCTCAGTAGCAGATGGTTAGTTAGCGCTTGTTAAAAATAAGCAATGACGATCATCGTATCGGTAACGATATATTTTCCTTCACAAGCTCTTCCTTGATTGTGAAGCTACATAAAGTTGAGCTGTTGGTAGTGGGCTCGCGACTCCTTTTATAGTCGCCTGTTTCCAAGGTTTCTTTGTCCGGGAAGAACTATCCCCCAGCTGAAAAGAATTCAACAAAAAGAGAAGTCTTTAGCTACCGAAAGGGAAAGATTAACCTTGACGAATATGACGACTACTGACGAATATAACAAAATGTATATTGAATTAAACTCGATACTTACTGTTTGCTTGCTATTTTTAATTTCTACCACCAAGAACTACATTTAAATTGTACAGTCATGTAAAATGTTTATTCAGAACAATTCCGGTGATGAATACATTCCAATCGAGCATGTCTTCGATGGATCAAATAAGAAAAGAATTCGTCTTCTCAATCCCTACATTCTTCGAATAAGGCGAGAATCACCACTTCAATCTTACAAGTTACGTTTGATCGATGTGAGTATAAGCTAATTTACCTTTGAGTGTTCCTTTCAATAGATTTAAAAATTGTTCTGTTACGTTTTTTTATAAGAGGCGCGACAAATTACTTAGCCCACCCCACCGAATATTAAGTGTTAGTGGTCGTGAAAAAAAGATGATGCGGCAAGTGTGCCGCTCCAGCCATCCTCACTTTGCCAGCGTGAATAGGGTTGCCACCCGTGCTTTATACGTTACAGTTTAAGTATTGTACGTTATTTCGGGTAATTGTACTTCTATACTTTATGCCAACAATAAAGTACCTACGCGAAAATACTTTATTTAATGTGATTTAATTACTCGGGGATTCATTTTACATAGAATATACAAAAAGAGGTTGATAGGAAGAATATTTGCGTTTTTACGCAAACGGAACGACAGTATGGAAAGGATGCAAATTTGGAATACTACTTTTAAAAACAACGTATTAAACATGGATGAAGAGATAAATAAGTGAACACTGCATTTAATGTTAGAAGAACTTATATTTTATTCAAGTTAAAGTAATTAACAACCTTGGATTATCACAAGTGTGGTTTAATTAAGAAATCACAGATTGGCGTAGTTTAAACAAAGCGAATATAATTTGGAATAGGGTATTCAAATTACAATCTCCTAATGGTTAACCTGAAATACCTATTTATTTGGCTTTAAATTAAAGCATTTCAATTTAAAAAATAAGCTTATATTAAAACAATTATATTTTTCTAGACTGCAATAGTCACAAACGTAACAACCAGTGTCATAGCCTATTGTATTCCAAATTAGCAACATAGCCAATTCTAACTTAAAATGTTTTTGTGAATTTGTGTTTCGATTAATTTCTAAAATAAGTGTTGATTCTTGATTTCAACAACTGACATTAATATATAAGTCACACTCAAGATGCAAGCCGATTTATTACTTACTTGGAAAATTTTCTCGTCAGCACTTTCACTCCGATAAAGATTGTCACGGAACTGTCAATATAGCTGCTTCTTAGCCACCTCAATTTTGTTTCCTAACACATAGACTAAGTATAACTGGTATACGTTAATACATGGCGCTTTAGAATATTTGTATATTGCAGTATTCCAAATTACCAACAGTATTCCAAATTAGCATCCTTTCCTGTCGCCCTTACCTCATTCCTGCAACATTGTCGTAGCTGTATGGCTTTGTACAATAGCCTTCCCATTGCGGATAATAACTACAGATTTTTAGTAGCCACAAATTATTTATGAAAAGTTGCTAGAAGCAACGAAAAATATATTTTTCGTACCACTTGCTCAAAAAAGTGGCATTCTATGTCACAAAAAGCGAACATAACAATAGTCATTTTTAATCTGTTTAAAACAGGGAAAGAAAATTGTACTGAATTTCATTCATCCTCTAGGGGGAGAATGTGATTTAAATTTGGAATACATACCGAAATTTATACTGAACTACATCTGTGTTTACACCATCGAGTTTGTATATAAAGCATTATACATCTTTTTGAAAAAGGAATACGCATTTATTGTGCAGTTATGATTATTAAATAAAATTACGAAAACCGACGAGGAGGCCGTATTTAATTGGACCAATGTTCCGAATGTTACCTTTTACTTTTAATTGTCATTATTTTTAATAAATGCTTATCTCATAATTATTATTGTGTTAATTTTTTCGCAAATGGTATGAAAAGTAGAGTATTTTCCTCGGTGATAAAGCTGTCTTAGTCTTGGGTGAACTTAAATCCCTTGCTACACTCAGGACTCGTCTTAAATCTCTCGCTTCGCTCGTGATTTAAGTTTTTTACACCCTCGCTACGCTCGGGAGTAAACCTCGAGTCCTTCGTTACTCTCGCGATTTAAGTCGTCACCCGCGACAGATGACACTGCTTTATCCCCTTGGTTAATCATCTACTATTTAAGCTTACTAATAAAGTGGACTAAAAAGTACTTTTTTTGGGCAAAATGTTTTTTTTTTCTACATTTAATATCCAATGTACTTTATTAGAACAAAGAAAAGGTGGCAACCCTAAGCGTGAACCCAATCCCCTTTCTCACGGAACCCTGGAACCCTACTCACCAACAGAAACACAACATCACCAAAAGGTAGTGTTAATTTCCTGTGGGGTTCGCTTAGGTGGAGGTTACTTCCCCAGGCGGGCGCTCCTCCAATTCGAGCGGAAAATCCGCTGTGCCCCTCTCTCGAAAAATCGCAATCAAATGTTGGATTAGGTTCGTTTACGTAAAAATTGTTTGCAGACTGTAACCGGAATCATAGCGCAGCCAAACAGTGGAAAATCAAGAAAAGCTAAAAAGGTACCTAACAAGATAAATAACGGTAAGAAGTTCGTTACAATTTAGCACACTTTGCATTCGCCATTCTTTAATATCGCATAAGCAATAATTGCTTTGAATTTGTTTGTGCTTTAGTTAGGGTATATTGTATTGTGTAAAGTGTACACTAGTAAAAATGAAAAAAAAAACAAAAAAATATTGCCTAAGCCAGATGTTTTGCTTCAGGTGCGACTTCAACGTAAATTAAATAGTATGGATGATAATGAACTTCATGATAATGCAGATGCTAAACCGAAAGAGAAATGCGGTATGTAATTTACATCTTCTACTTATGTAAACAGTTTATTATGACAAGTTCACTCGTTACGATTCTCTTCCGATGTTCTCATGTTCCCATTTTGGATGGGGAGTTAAATGATAAACATAATGCATGGTAGCCATCTTTCCCACGCAGATGATAAGAGCTTTTCCAGCCCCATCGTAGGCTATTGGTACCTTAACGATTAGCAGTGCTTTTCTGTAAAGACACAAAATTTTCATGATAATTTTACAGAATAGCACTGCAGATTTGCAACGTTACCGGCACCGTTTTACGTTGCCGACATCATGACGTGGAAATGTGGACAGGCCCTTAGTTATTAGAAAAAAATCCCAATTCAATGTAAATACACGTCTGTCTTATACTCATGCATTAGTACCGCCTATGTCCATATATACTTACTGAATTATGGTCTAAAGTCAGATTCCCAAGGTCTGCGATATGGCAGATTGATAGCCCAAGACCACGCGGACAGTTCAGACGACTCCCTTCTGATCTGAACTCTAGTCCACGTCTATCTGAATCACAGATCATCAGAAACCCGCGTAATAGCGCGCCTCATTAGTTTGATGAGATTTATGGTTTTCACAGACACAGGTATTCTCCATTCGAATGCTAGCAGTTTTTTAGATGATATCCCGTCGAATTCCGACAACCAGCAATACGATGATGATCCACAACAACAGTTAAGACACACTGAACACTCTAATAAAATATCTGAAAATGCAAGAGGTAGGTAAATAAAACAATTATAGTTCTTTCTATTAATAGATAGATAGATAGATAGATAAATTCTTTATTGCACACACACAAAAGAATACAAAAATAAGGAAACAATTACATAATGTGGGCAAAGGCGGCCTTATCGCTTTAAGCGATCTCTTCCAGACAACCTTTGCGGTAAAGGATAACTAAATGAAGAGGAAATTGTAGTATGCCAGCAAGATAAAATAAAGATATGTACATATTTTCTTAAACATATAAAGATTATATACAAATAAATAACATATACCTACACAAATATATATACTATATATACCTACACAAATAAATATATTATGCAATATTATATATTTATAGATATAGCAGACTAGGATTTGATTAAAAGAAAATCATGTAGTATATTTTTAAAAATGTTAAATGATTTAGCGTGACGGATCTCAGACGGAAGCTTGTTCCAAAGCTGTGCAGCTTTAATCGAAAAGGAGTCCATATAATACTCAGAGCGGGTGAGGGGTATCTCTAACACATTATCGTGTTTTGAGCGCAAAACGCGATCGTGGTCCACACCAAGAAATTGGAAACGTTCCTTGAGGTAAGTGGGAGTGCGAGGGTCATACAACACCTTATAAAGTAATAAGAGGAGATGCTCTTCACGACGCAACCTAATGGGAAGCCACTTGAGCTTTCTCCTAAATTCAGAAACATGGTCGAACTTGCGCAGGCCATAGATAAATCGAATGCAAAGATTTTGAAGTCTTTGCAGCTTATCAAGTAGATTTTCTTTGAGATCTACGTTACAAACATCTGCGTAGTCCAGAATCGGCATTAAGAGAGATTGCGCAAGTTCAACCTTGGTCCTCACCGGTAGCAGGTTTTTCCATCGGCGCAACGAGCCCGCAGCAGCGAATATCTTCCTACTGACCTCAGAAACATGAGGTGACCATGAAAGGGTGGAGTCAAAGAAAACTCCAAGATTTTTGACAACATTGCTGTAGGTCAGTGGAATAGAGCTGAGATAAAGAGGAGGCAGAAGTGAAGGATCCAGCTTAATAGATTGTTTTGACCCACCAATGATGATGGCCTGCGTCTTACAGGGATTAATTGAAAGGCCGTGGGCATAAGTCCATTCGTGAATAACCCTAAGATCGTCATTCAAGTTCGCGATTACATTCCTGACTTTATCAACAGGTGCCTGACGGTAGATCTGCAAGTCATCAGCATACAAGTGGTACTGGCAGGTAAGGAGAGAAGTGAGAAAGTTAATGAATAGAGAAAAGAGGAGAGGGGAAAGGACTCCGCCCTGAGGGACTCCAGCAATAACTTCACAGAAATCAGATCGTCTGTCGTCGGTACGTACACACTGCTGCCGGCCAGCTAGATAACTTCGGAACCAGTCCACCACCACATCCGAGACAAAGATCGACTTCAGCATAGCCAAGAGGATGTCATAATCAACGGAGTTGAAAGCATTGCTGAAATCCAGAAGTACAAGCACAGTCACCCGTTGTTTAGACATGCCCTCACGGATATCATCAGAGATCTTGGTCAAGGCCGTAACCGTGCTATGCCCCGGGCGGAACCCGGACTGAAAGGGGCTAAGAATATTCTTGGAGTTGAGGAAGACGCTTACCTGATGATGAACAAGACGTTCGAGTACTTTTGAAAGTAATGGGAGGATGGATATAGGTCTAAAATGACTGGATAAGGTAGGATTGGAGATCTTAGGGATAGGAATTACGGCCGCTCGACGCCAGCAGCTCGGAAACGAGCCTGAACTAAGAGAGAAATTGAAGATGTGACTGAGGAGCGGAAGAAGAGTCGTAGAACCATACAAAAGCATTTTTCGACTAACTCCATCCAGCCCTTCGGCATTTGATGTAATAGCGGAGATACTCCTCTCAACTTCACTTACGGTCACAGATCTAAAAGAAAAGGCGGACTTATGAGGATCGAAAGCAGCAGATAAAGTTTGCAATGTAGATTGCTTGACATTGGAAGGAATAGAGGAAGGTGCAGTAAAGTACAGATTTAAAGAATTAGGATCAATATTATGAGGGAGTGACAAATTAACCTTACCAATACCACAGGACTTAAGAAACGACCATACTTTTGCAGGACTGCTGTTCGATACTGAGGCATGTATATAGCGCCGCTGTGCATCTCTGCAAACTCTACTACAACGGTTACGGAGCTCTTTGTACTTGCGAAGCGTTACGTCAGTAGGGTTATTTCTATAACGGGCTTTAGCAATATTGCGCTTCGACATCAACGCCTTAATATCCGCTGTCAGCCAGGGAGCAGGGAGATGCTTCAGTCGTACAGGACGGAAAGGAGCATGCCTGTCATATACTTGAATGAGCAACGAGTTAAATATTTCCATTTTCGCTTCAATAGTAGGGGCGTTAAACACCACATTCCAGTCGATATTATTAAGATCAGCCAAGAAACTGTTCTCGTCAAAGTTCTTGAAGTTGCGTTGCATGATCACTCGCAGTTTGGGTTTGGGACAACGGATTTTGTAAGAGAGGAAGATGAGATCATGATAAGAGAAGGCCTCTGCGGGCAGTTGGCCATGGGAGCCAACAAGATCAGTGGAGGAGACAATGGCAAGGTCAAGCAAGGATGGCTGGCAGCCTGGAAAATGGTGTGTTGAAGAGGAAGGGAGAATATTAAGGTTGACAGAATCTATAATTGAAGACAATCGCAATGAGCGAGAATCATGTTTCATCAAACAGGTGTTAAAGTCTCCCATAATTATAATGTGATCGACAGTAGGTACGAATTTCTCGAGTAAAGTTTCAAATTTCGAAAAGTAATCGATGTGGAGGTTGGGGCTATAGAAAACCCCTAAAAGAACCTTGAGATGACCTAGGATAACCTCAATAAAAAGATGTTCAGAAGATTCGGAGTACTGAGGAGGAGAATTGTCGAGAATATTGAATGAAAAGTTATTTCTAAGATATATTGCAACACCACCGCCACCCTTGCCAGTCCTGTCATTGCGGATCAGATGGAACCCTGGAAGAGAGTAGGATATGGAAGGTAGACAGGGTTTCAGGAACGTTTCTGATACCAGGATAGCGTGAATATTTCGATTGTTAGAAAAGGTGGATACCAAGTCCGCATAGTGTGCAGGGATACTCTGAGCATTAATATGCACCACATTAAAGTTTTTCGGCAAAGTTGAAAATGTGGACTCAAGCTGCAAGTCTAAAGGTTGATTTAAACTGTGGAAACTGCAGTCAGATGAGGATGTGGAAAAATACTCTGAACTGTTTTCCACTGAATCGTCAGTATCAATATCACTATTAGTCTGCATCAAAATATATTAAATATATATCTTATTTAAAATAAATAAATAACCAAATAAAAAATAAACAATTACTAAAATAAAAATAAATAAAGGTAAAATAGCTAATCACTTCCCGCTGGCAGTGTGGAAGAGAAACGCACTAACAACAATTGTTACGAAACATAATTAAACCATAACAAATAAAACAATAATTAGATTAAACAACGGAAAATAAAAAATCACCAAAACAGCAATTTGGCAAGCATCAAGCATTTCCGAACGTAACCACAACCGTCAAAAAACATGACAAAGGCTGCGCTCCACTCTCTTCACTCTGAATTTTATTACCAGAAACGTATGTATGAACCGAAACGTAATGTTACTTTGAATAGGTTTTTTCCAGAGTGCAGGTACGGAACGCAACCCAAAGAGTGACAATGACACCTCCGTCCGTCAATGTCACCGTAATGTCAATCAAAGAAGTTTTAAAGTTGACGTGAAAAAATATTAAAAGCTTACATTACAAAGTAAAAAGCAATACACTCATCAATTGAAGCAAAAACAAAATCAAGAGGGTACAGCATAAACAAATTACAGACAAAGATCAACAGCTATACTACTTCATTAGCGGTGGCGGTGCTCGTCGAGAGCGCAAGAAGCTCAGACATCGAATCTAATTTATGTCTCTTGCTGTCTGGTGTCTTGATGAATATGATCCCGTCCATAGTCCAACAATTTGAAACGCCAAACTTACTTCTAGCAGCCATAAAGACGTCGTGTCGGGCCTTCGTGAGAAATTCCGATAACGTAATCTTTGATCCCTTGAGTGCACTTTTGTTCTTCCACACCGCCGCTCGTATTTCCGTATCGGCGAACTTTACAACAATGGGCCGTGGTTTAGTATTATCGGCTATAAGCTTACCCATTCTGTAACTGGAAGAGATGCTTACAGCAGTGAGATTTTGCACCTTACACTTGTTTAAGTTGTAGACGATTGCAGCACAAGTGTCTTCATCCTTTGCCGTGCACAAGCAGCATTTTTCGACGAAAACGCATCTCAATTCGATCAACCCTGTTATGGAGAGCATTCAACTCCGAACGAAGCACAGTGAGGCCATTGCAAACAAAAGTTTTGAAGTTCACAAACTCTGTGTTGAGTGCTGCAATGCTGCTAGGGTTCTTACGTGAAGCCTGGTTAAGCTCTGCCTGGAACTCTGCCATCTTGTCTTCAAACATCTTGGCCATTTTATTCAAATTAGACTCCAACTGTGAGTGGTCCATTGTGTAGTGATGTTTTGTGGTAAAGGAGATAGTTAAAGGAGAGGAAACACTGCAAGCGAGAAGCACCAACTATTCTTTAGGTTGTGACATATACTTGATAAAAGAAATATCGAGTTTTACTATTTTTTCAATATAAAATTAACAGAACTATCAAAATTTGCAGTTCACTTGGCAACTACCCCCAAGCGAAAAAAAAGTTGTTCTTACTTACACTTTCAATTATATTAAGTTGAAGTACAGTCGGTGGTTCGCATTACCTAGGCAAATTATAGTGTAGATACTAAAGGAAATTAATTATACAGAGAACTTAAAAAGTAGGAAAAAGCTTTTAATATTTTTTATTAATAAAGGAAATAAAATCAAATAAAACTAGTTTTAACGGGTTAATGCACGAATTTTATTCATTTATTGACGTTTCGCAGCCTTTGCAGGTCCGCATATCGTCAGAATAATGATTTTTTATTTACTTTGTCGAGCTAAGTACCTTCTTTCTACAAAGTGCATAAAAATCATTATTCTGACGATGCAGACCTAAGGCTGCGAAACGTCAATAAATGAATAATTTATTTGATTTTATTTCCTTTATTAATAAAATTTGTTAAAAAGTTTTTCCTACTTTTTAAATTCTCTGTAAAATTTCCGTTAATTAACGAGTGATGTGCGTGAAAACCTAAGAAACAAATATGAAATAAAATAATTTTCATACATTTTCATAACATTTCCATTCATTGTAAGTACTTATACCTATAGTTGGTAAAATCTCTTCGTTGATGAACACTAAAATATAATTATTTTTATCATATTACGTAGTCCGAACTGTCATCAGTGAAAGTTTCCTTTTTAATAATTTTACTTTCATCATAAATATTCACAGGACTATTACTGACTCTGCATTCGTTTGATAATTGCTCCTCAGCTTCTATGATGGCTGCAAATATTTTCTTTTTCACTTGTGTTTGCATCCACGGAGGCATTTCTCTGGTAGATTTGAGCATGCAGAAGAAGAACGATTCTAAAGCGTCTCCCTCTTGTTGAAGGCTTGTAGTGTCGGTTTGGAATTCGACGCAGCGTCGCTTCGTGGGCGGACTGTCTCTTTGTTTTGTGGATTCACTTGTTGACACATCCTGCTCGGGCACCTTACTGACGTTATCTTCCATACCTTCGCTGTCAATATTCTCCGTTATTCGATATTTCATGTGAGGTTCGAGGAACTGCATCGCTTTGGCGTATTTCCATGTGGTGATCTGCGCTGGAAGCAACTTGTTCTGTCCAAGTTTAGCTCTTTTAAGTGCTTCTCTGTGATTATCTCGTAGTTTTCTCCAGGTCGCTCTTGCTGCTTTTACTGAAAAAAAAAACAGAAATAACATTTTAGTCCTCGTCATATAAGTATTTAAGTACGTTTTGCCCCTTTTGAAGTTAAATTAATTATCTAATCTAGTGGTATTCATTGGCAGGGCCGTAATCAGTAGAGTTGTAATTTAAGATTTTGCCTTTTTCTCCCTGCAGCCTCTGTACCTTTTTAAGGTACGGATATATAATAGTATTTTAATGGATGACATTGCTCCATAATGCTCCCCCCTAGCTACGGCCCTGTTCTAAATATACACACACATAGGTTATTTTTATCCCAAAAAATATAAATAAAAATACACTAAAGTTAATGCGCACGAAGTCGCGGGCGGAAGCTAGTAAGTATAATAAAATAAAAGTTGTAGGGTTTCATGGCTACAAGTTTACAAATAGCAAACACGAATAGCCAAGGTAATAGAATATAACAATAGGTGTCAGCTGTCCACGGAATGTGTATTTTTAATGCCGCTATAACACAAAATATTTGCCTGAATGCCTGGTCCGCGTGTTATTTTCTTTTCTAGTAATCTTTTCTTTAGATTTAAACATCTAGCAGTTAAATACTTAAAAAATAAAAACAACAAAATACTGCTTTATTTTTTGTATAAAAGTAAAATTAAAAGAAGTTAAAAACTCGACTATAATGAAGTGGTTTATAACTTGGTCGATTTTTCTTAATTAATTCACATATTCACCTATATTTGGATAAATGGATAACAAGATAATGGATATCGAAATTGAGAGAGGTATATAGGACACAGCGGATTTTCCACTTGAATTAGAGTGCCCGTCTGTTGTGTTGCTGCTGGTGAGTATTGTTCCATGGCTCCGCGGGGTAGGGGTTTGGGTTCAGGCCGACATGATCAGGATGGCTGCCAATGCCGATTTTCTTTGTTGTCTGGATTAATTAAGATACCTAATAACTACCTATATATAACAACTTATCTCCAAAGAAATATGAGTAAATAAAGTTTAAATTACCTACTTAACTGAAATAAAATGTCAGTACTATCAATAATTTTCCTTTAGTTTCACTATCAATAAATGTTAAACCTAACCTAACCCAATGTTAGTTACTTGATTGCGTTGAGACAAGTAGACAGATAAATAAATACATCTCGCAAGCTTTGCTTACCATTAGGAATAGTTGTATTATCGCAATCCTTTACTACTCGCTGCCAAGCTTCGTCTCTGATTTGCATTTCTCTGTAATCGGCGTGCAAAGGATTCCATAAGCACGGATGCGCGCGTACACCCGCGATAAACGTCTCCATGATTTCCGAAATATTTTGTACGGCAACTAACACTGCGTTAACGGCTTCCACGAGCCACTCAGACTTACCTGAATCGTGTGGGCCCATGCCTCTCGCCGCGCCGCGCCGTCGCGTCGGCTCGACCGATCTCCCTTTACAATGAAACCGGTTTATACCACTGCTACGGAATTCATGCGTTGTTCCAAGTTGTTTGTACGCTTGTGTATAGTTTAAGAAACCTGTCTTGTGGTTCTCGGCCAAACGACTGCCGCTTTGTTGTTTGAGAATTTCATAATCATAATTAGGTTTTGTAGCTTCATAAATAGCGATCCTATGAGTTAGTTTATATTATGTCTTTAGTAGGTATAGATTGATTTGAAATAATAAGGCTAGTATATAACTGCAAATAAAAAAACGTTTTGTATAAAAAATAATCGCAAATTCTAAGCAAAAATAGGTACTTATTGCGCAGCAAAATAGTCATCTCAAAATATTGTTATATTAGTAACAATTTAAGTTCGTGATGCATCGCTATTTATTTAAAACTTAAGCTTTTTTAAGAGTGCATAATATCTAAAAATAACCATCTCACAACAAATCGATTAGGTACTTAATTTTTTAAAACAAAACCATATTTTTATCTCATACAGTAGTTTACCTAAGTGAAGCACCCTTTAATTGACATAAGAATCTAATTATTTATTTATTACGACACAATGAGATCAACAATCAACTATAACATTTGATAAAAAAAGTAACGTCTACTTTTCGGTATTTAAAGCAGGTCTTGCTCTAGCGGGACGGACGTCCACGCTTCCTTTTTTGTCCGATTGGTATATTTTAGGGCTCTGCAGGTGCTGTCATAACCCGAGCCGGATCGCCAGTACCATGATATGCTTGCATTTATAGTTTTTGAAAAAATGGGGGCAGGTACATTTACCATTCATCCAGGCACTTCTTTGCGTGGGCAAGACAACTGTCTAATATGCAAAAGCATTTTTTATAACCATCAAAAGTGTCCCAATGTTAAGCAAGTTTTGATATGCCTTATGGGAAACCTGTTGCAAAAATAGTTGTTTTGTTATGAGTGTGAGTATTATGCGTCGAAGCCCTGGTTAATTTTCTGTGCAATCGGTATATTTGCTGTGCAATCAGTATATTTGGCATGAAAATTATATTTCTGTACAATTAAACAAGTTTTAGTCGAGCATTAGAGGAAAAAATGTACTACAGATAAGAAGTATATTTTTTAATTATTTTTAGCACTAGTTTTGTTTAATAAATGTTTTGTTTTGCAGTAAAATAATTATTTTGATGTAAAAAGTATTTAGTTGATGTAAATTACTTGATGGGTGATAAGTCATTTGCTGTGCATTTAAAAATATCCCAAATGATAATAGGATTAACTCAAACTCTATTTGTATTATACAAATTGCTGATACGTTATAAAATTTTAAATAAAATACTAGTGGACTCGACAGACATCCCCTGCGTCCTGCCCGATAAATATATGAAATATAATCCCAGATAAAACCTGACTGCGGACAGCGTCACCTATAACCAGTTCAGTTGTGAAACAGAACCATTTAACTCGGAAAAACACATGTCATCTAAATCCTTCCAGCTATTTAAGGTGATGCGAGAAGAAATAAGTATAAACTTATGTCATGATTACATACATTTTTATTTCAGTTAAAAGAAGTGTATGTGCAGCTTACAGCGCTATATGGAATCGCGAGAAAAGAAATGAACATAATATAATTGTTGAAAACACTGTTGATGACGATAATGTCCCATGGTTAGCAAAAGGACAATTTTATCAAAATCTTAATCACGCTCCGGCTGTCAGTCATATAGTTAAAGAAAAACCAAATCTTAATTATGATTCTAAATATGAGAAAATACATCCGCGATCATCTGAAAATAAAAACCCATTCGCCACTTCTTCTAAAGGTAGAGAAGCATTTGAAAAACAAAAAGTTGCCAATGTTAATCTGAAAAATTCTAAAAAACTTAACAGTCCGTCATCATACATCGGAACTGAGCACATAACTCGTCGAAATACAGTTAACAAGAATAATGATGAAATGCCTATTTCTAATAATTATAATATGGGAGAAACAACTTACTCTCTTTATGCAATAGGAAAACCAGAATTATGGTATACAGTTCAAGTGCAACTTTTTGAAAAGATGAGTACTCCTGAGGGGAAGGCTGTTTGGAACGATATAACGAATGGTGAAATTGCAAGGTCTTTGAATAAGTTTTATATCGTATTTAAAGTACTTAACTGTGTTTTAGCACATAATATTATATATAAAATATTATATTTTAAATTTTAGTGTTAGTTCTGTGGAACCAGAATGGAAGGGTCCTAATATAAATATTAAATATGGATCCACTGAATGGATACCAAGGGAAGAGTTCAGTTTACCTACAGACTCTAGTTTGTGTTTATTAGTGTCAATGAAAGGAGAAAATACAAAAAGCTCAGATGAAGATAATGGTATATGTTGTAGATATTGAGTTAAATTCTCATTTTACTCTTATTAATGAATTTACTTGAACAGGTTCAATAAGAAAGTATATTGTGGTCCCAATGGATGATATTGTCAACATTGAAGATGAAAGCTCAATGAGAAAACGCGATGGAAACTACACCGAACATATGACGGAATCTGTAAAGGGAGAGCAGGTATGCGAGCATATCTTACATAAAGGTACCTATCTAAATGTGTTTCTTATCAATTTTAATAATAGATTGCTGATTTTTTTATTTCAAATAGTCTCATAGAAGAGTTTTAGTTCGCGTTTCCAGAGCGTTACTGGTTGGGAGTGAAGATGATATTACTATTTCCTCATATCGCTCCAATAACTTTCTTATAATGCCTTACCGACGCGGCCATCACGCTCAGATTGACCTAGAAGCTCGCGCTGACTACAACGAACTGTTAAGAGTCGGGTGATTAATTTTTATTATACTAAATACACTAATAGTAGTAGTTAGTTCTATATTTTTTTAAATAGATTTACGATTGTGTTGACATAGGAAAAAGATGGTAAAGGTAAAAGAGCAATACTGTATGTTTATTTATACAAAGACCTACCTTTGGACGTGTGATTTATGTTAGGTAAGGTACAAGTGCTCAAGTTATTTTTTACATTTCATAGGTCATCTGGCAGTTTAATAACCGTTGTATCTGATAATACACGACGTACGCGCTCAACAATATCGGTTCAAGTTACAAACAGAGGATTAGTCGCTGCTCGGTTTAAGTTAGTGGAATTTTAGTCTACAAATATAGTAAGAATGATTATGAACAAAATAATAAATTATTTTGGTCCTTAGGGTTAAAACTCGCGATTGTCGACCAGAACTCGCAGATTTATTTGAGAAATCGGGTGAGCAATTAACAACGGATCCAATACTAATTGCTCCCAGGCACACCTATCGTTATGTTTTGGAGCTGCCTATAGAGATACCTTTGGATCATGTTCACTGTTCTCGTAAGCATAATATTGCTATCTTTTAAAGCTAATAGATTTCTTTACATTTTCATCAATAAAGTGATGTCAATAAAGTTTTAATTTTGATTAAAGTTATTGCTGTCATTTTCATTGCTATAACGTTATAACGTCCGCCTTTACTGTGGCGCGGATCATTGGCCGTAAGGCAAAGCAGCGTGTCTGCGCGCCGGCCTATCAGCGAACCAGCCTCTACCAACGTATAGGCTGGAAACAGTGCTCGACCGACGGTCAGCGCTGACCGTCGGTCGAGATATGAGATTGTATGGACAGTGCTTCACCATGTGCTTCACTGACGGAGCGACCGACCATACGCGCGTAAGTACACTTAAGGCAAAAATGAATATTGATACAGAGCGCCTGGGTGGACTACGAGGTGGTTAGAGTAAGGCAATAAATACATGACTTTTAAAATGACATTAAATTTATTTCACGTCTACATAAATTATGGCCATTTGACACTTTTTCTTGCATAAGAAAATCATTGTAAAGTCAGCACACTTTCCTCGCAAAACTATACCATAAGCAAACGACTGTAATGGGCCGCCGTATCACGGTATGCAATTACGCCGATACTGTAGATTTAAGATCTGCTTCTTTATTCAATTAATCTTATTAGGATCGTAATGAACTTTTTATTTGCAGTGGCATTAGTCAATGATGAAGACGAATCCGTAGCGGTCAGAGAAGTTGCGATAAAAAAAGGTGATCGATGTTTTTGTGTATGGCATTGCGACTGCGTCTGTTTGAGTAAGTAATATACAATTATTATTATTTATAAATACAAACTCAGATTATCGAACAAAAGCTTTAGTTCTGTAATCTGAGCTTACAAAAGAACTGTTAATCAAGGCTTAGTACTAGTTTTACTTTTTTGTCATTAACCGAGTAACGACAATATTTTTTCTATAAAGTAAACACTATAAGGCTTGCTTTATGGGAACTGGCAAATTAGGTACTAGGGTAACGAATAGAAATATTAATAAACAACCAGTTGTTTGGTTGGTTCCTATTTCATAATAATGGTCATAATAATGAATGCTCATAATAACCAACCCAAAAATTTACTTAATCATTACCATCACATCACAAAGTACACTACTGGGACTCGAACCCTGGAGCTCAGAGTAGGCGACACCTTGAAAACTCATACAACTACCTAGACTACCAAAGAGGTTGCGATTGTATTCTAAACAACGATATTAAAATATCGTATTACCTATTATAAAATATTACTGCCCTGACTCGATCGTTTCCGTGAACAGAGTAATAGTGTGCGCTTAGTCGCATTCTGAAATAATGTCATCGCATAAATAATCGCATTTTGGCCTGATTTATTTATCAAGTAGGTACATCTTTTTTACTTAGATGAAGAACCGAAGCTGCTGTGTCACGAGATGGCGGAGTCCCGGCAGGTGGCAGCTGGACTGTCGCCACAAGGACGCCCCCGTCACGCCCGTTTTGCTTGCTATCCCGACATTCTTTGCGTCAACTTGTCAGTTGTCGTCGTAGGAGTTCTTATGGCACTGATGATGCTAGGTTCCATATCTTTCTTTATGATCTTAAGTGATTTATATATCAGTGGAAATTGACCTGAAAAAAAAATTGTCTTTATTAGAAAACAGGACTCCAAGCTCAACCTTGACGCTAGGTAGGTACAAGATCAACAAAGATCAGTGGGTAGCTGCTTCAGTTCTTATGTAAAGTTATAAGCAAATCACAATCGTTCTTTCGTTAATAAGCAACTGTTCGCAAATCGATTTGATTAGCGTAATACTCAGGCTTGTGGACATTTTTCTGGTTGGTTAACTTCTTTGGAGATTTAATGTGTAGCAAGTTAAGTTAAATACTAAAATGGTTGCAAGCTTCTGCCTTGAAAAGGAACATGGTAAAGCAAACAACCTATTCTTAACACGAGGCAAACCTCAGAAACCTCATAATATTTCTTTTGTAGTTACTTGCCAATCCTTTATCATTATGTTGGACAAAGTACCATAGTAGCGATATCTTGCGTCGTATAATGAGAAAATTGTTTCGAACTGAAAGAGTATCGATAATTAATGTTTTCTACGCAGAGATATTTGGTAATTTATATGATAGATACTCTTCTACAATCTTTTGTGTTGACAGGAATAATAAAAGCCTTTTTAGGCTTGTTCTGCCCCCGAGTAGCTAATTGGGGCTTGCAAAGGCTGATCCAAGTCCCAAGAAAATTAGAAAAATATCACGAATGTAATTTGAGTGATAGGCCGGTGATATACGACAAAGAAGGCTGGCCAGTCCACCCCGATACTATGAAACGGAACGTTCGGTTGCTGAGCAAGTAAGTTTTTTATTAAAAACGACAGGTAATTTGAAATCTATTCCGTCTTTGATAGCGTGGCAAAAATATGCGCATAGGTATACCCTGATATTATTAAAACTGGTAATAAGAATGAGGTCACCATAATCTACACTTATGCACGCTTGCAGCTGCAGGTAGTTGGGATCCCTAATTCAATGTGTTATTTATTCTATTAAATCAACTATTAGAGCCTGTTTTACCAGAACATGATATTCATGAAGTTTCCGATAGTTATCTACCGTAAAAAAAAATACTGTTATGAAACATTTAAATACATATGTGATCAGGGCCGGATCTACCATATGGCTTTTTGGGCTTCAGCCCAGGGCCCCGTGGATTCAAGGGGCCCCCAGCTAAGTAAGACAAAGCCAAAATAGACGATAATGCGAAAGAATCCATACTTTTATTAAAGTAAACAGATCGGAAATTCAGACAGGCAAATATCGCTGAATTTAAATAAGAAATAGCAGATATAATATTTTCAAAATATGTGTCTAAAGCTGAACTAGTGGTTCACCAAAGAAAGAAAATTAAAATTATTTTCTTTAAAGCAGTAGATTCAATGATTAGAAGTACATTCAATGTAGAAAAAATACATTGTTGAATGTAACCCTATTTATATTACCCCTAGAATGTGAGGAGCAAATTAAAGAATTTGCCATGTCTGCACTTTGCAGAAAGGTTGTTTTGTAATTTGTCAATATATTAACAGTAGTATAATAATAAGGCATAATATAATATAAATTAAATATTTTACTGTCTCATTTTTTTTCTATAATTTGAATAATTAGGTGGGCCCCTAAATAGTATTAGCCCAGGGCCCCCTTAAATCACCAGTTATTTTTTTCATTTAGCATAAAAGTTCCGAATCAGCCTCCGTCAGTAATTTTATTGTTGTTAGTGAAACAAGCCATTTATATTTTAATTCCATTTAATCAAAGTAGCTTAGGTATATAAATTTCTCACATATCAACTTTTTGTAGGGAAATGGAATTCATTTTGAACATAATATTTTTTGTCGTCGTACCCAGTTTGATGTTGTGGGATGCCATAAAATGGGTAATTTATGGCAACGCTAGCAAAGAAGTGAGACCATCGGGGGATGAAGCCAAGAAATGTTTCAGTTCTCACGATATGCAGGTGCGACGTAAATAAGCATAATATATATAATTGCACAGTGAGGAATTGCACTTAAAGACAGTTCAGTCAATCTGTTTTGTCTTTTACATTGTGGCTCCCAGTCGATTCGATAAAATACTTATAGTTTAAAGTGCAATTCCTGACTGTTTGTAGGGCTCTCAACGTCGATGGCGGAAACGAAAACGCGTTGGCCTGCAGCAGTGGATGACAACACCAGCTGAAGAACTGTCTACAGACATTTGGGATAAGGGTTTGTCTGCTCCACGAGCAATAGAATGTGACATTGTGAGAAAACAAAACGTTAAGTATTTACAAATAACTATATAACCATTTTATTGGATGCTTTTGTTTAGCCCTATGCCGGAAGAGCAGTATTTTTATCAGTATGTAGGTATATCTAAATTTTAATATCGAAAACTCGACTCTGAGCTCATAACAAATTACTAGCCTCTTATCAGCAAAGAGTAATAGTTAATGTTTTTTTTATTCATGTAGGTATTGGTCGGATTGGACGCAAGTGGAATCCAATGATTTAGGGTTTTCCCGCCACCAATTCAGCGTCACTGTGACTGAACGATTATTTAAATTGATCTATAGACTATGACATGTCGTCATTGATTTGATGGATGAGTAGACCTTTTGGCTCAGTGCTGGTGCCCGTCATACCGGAAAACCCACATTCAACATTGAATGATTATTATCTTCCTACCTTCATAATCTGGAACACAGTAGGAATTATTATGTATATTTGTCTATTGATAAAGATTCTCGTTTCAGATGCGACCATTGCTTGCTGAACGTCAGTATAGGCCTGATGATATCTCTGCATGTGCGGATTCAGAGCAAGATGACACCGAATACGTTTTGACTCAAATGCGTAGAAGTAAAGAGTCTCTTGCAGTAAGTATCTACAAAATAACGTGCAAAAATATATAATAATAACTACACCCATTATAAACCGAATAAGTAATACTTACTCTGTCCTGACGTCAGCGGTATTAGACTTTGGAGTTAACATTTCAAAGTCCAAACCACAGTTAATAGAAAGAGATCTTCTTTCCTCTTTCTATGTTCTCTGTATGGTTCAATATTAGTCAAATGGTGGTCAACACGGACCTGATAAAAAGCCGGACGTAATATCAAACTAAAATGATGTGAAGCTTGCAAGGTCCTTAAATTTTGTTTGTTCTACTCTACCTATACCACAGTAATGCACCAGGTCCGACAACTCGCTGCCATTTGACCCCGCGTCACAGCTCAAGTGACACGTTCAATTGCGCCGACGAAATTTTTCACAAATTACGTCTTGTGTGGTGAAATCATCAATCAAAAACTACATGAGTTAACTTAAAAAGTGTCGCCGCCCACGGGCCACACTGAAAAAATAATTTGACAGGCCAACATTATGTTTCTGAAGTGCAACCGTTTAAATTGTTGAAATATTGAGAGCTCACGACGAGTAAAATTATTTGATTACTTAAGTAACAATGTTTTAGTTAGCGAGATTTAAAAAGTAGGAAAATTGATGATTTATCCGACAACCCTCAAATCACCCACACACACGCGGTAAGCGGGCAGCCATTGGCATGCTATACTTACGATAAGACGAGGTTACGCCCGTCTTTTTTTCAGGTCCGTGGTGGTCAAAAGCTGAAATGGTCCATACTAGAACTAGGGTTTACTAGAAGTGATCGAATCCAAAAGAAGTAATAATAGCAGCGTTTTACTTAACCACTAAAACGCATGTTGTGTCCGGAGACTTATTCGGGGTCATATAAACATAATTTTGAGTCTAGCATCTTGCGTTGTCGGTCATACATCTCCATAGACAAGTAGGGTGAACATAACTCCTTTGCTCTATGAACGGCGGGTCACGTGACGATGACGTAATTTTCCCGCCACTCTCGTTCACCAGTTCTAGCTTAGCAGAAAGCTGCACTCATTGTGACCTTAAAATTCTAAAATTCTAAAAACAAAGACACCAGGCAGCACTAAAAGCGATGACCCCGAATAAGTCTCCGGACACAACATGCGTTTTAGTGGTTAAGTAAAACGCTGCTATTGTGCCCTACGGCCTTATTCGGGGTCATGTTAACATAATTTTGAGGCATTGTTTGTTATCGCCTGGTGAACCTGGACGCCAATGTGTTGTGTTAAACGAGTCATGATATGAAAGTTAACTATATTTCTTTAATATTATCCTGCTAAATCAAATTATAAAATACTGTATCTTAAACACTATAGAATTCTCTTCAATTATAAATCTTTCTGTAGCGACGCTCAACAGTGTCAAGTCATGCACCCTACGTCCCGAGCATAATAATAAAAGAACCGCACTTATTCGAGATACTTCATATAAGGTGGGGTTTTCAAGAGTTCGTTTATCTAACCACAACACCAATGAATTAGGGTCGCAAATCGGCTCTGGATGACTTTTTGGCTTAAGTAGAGAAATAGATTTAAGCATTTGTTTAACAAGTTGGTTTGAACTTAATCGAACTTCACTATTTGCATTGCAAAGAGTATCTACTCTTTTCTTTTCTCTACCGATTTATATAACAAAATAGTCCGATAAGACAAACCTTCTTTCAGGTGTAAATCTGCTAAAAATGTAGCTAAATCACTACCCGTTGGATCTGACAAATTTACATTTATTTTGGTTTATAGGTATTAATAGTAGAGGATCTCCAGCTACCCTGAAGAAGACGTTTTTGCTCCTCTGACCAATCACCTAACGATTGAGACCACCCCCACACCTCCAAACCTCCAGAACCAAATTCTCTACCCGTGGTGGAGGTCGACCCGACGTCGTGTCTATCAAAACTCTCTCCAGTCGGTGAATTGTGAAGGGTGGTGCGATTGCCCGCGCCTTCAAGTCTGCCCTCCAGAACGCCTGTATCCATCTGGGTGCCACTATCAGATATATGCCTTGTGCATAATTCAGATGCATATGAACTTGGGGCATTAAGCTTGGTGTGGGAAACACCCGCGCCAGCTTGAAATCCCACTGAATCGCAGACGCATTGTGCCTCCAAGCTTGGCGATCTTTTTGATCCAATGTCACATATTGATTCACAACGTGTGCCGTGATGGACGCAAATAGATCGACTTGTGGAACCCACCACCCACTTCGCGATTACTACCTTCGTTCCTTCTGAAAGCAGGTGCCATTCCGATATCCTCGACCTTTGACGTAATAGACTGTCCGACACGTTGTTGTAACGACCTGAAATATGATAGGGGCTTATGCGAATGTCGTATTTTTGTAACACATGAAATATCTTGAAAACAAGTCCTAAAAGAATTTTGGACTTGTTCCCGCCTTCGTTTCTGAGGTAAGCCACAACTGCTTTGTTGTCGCATTGAATCAAAAGTGAGGTACGATTCAGAGAGGGAGCCAATTCTGTAAGACATTTGAAAATGGTCGGCATTTCTTTGTGATTCGAATGATAACGCTCTTTTTTTTCTGACCAGGTTCCTCTCAGGTGAATCCTATTCAGCCACCCATTCAGGGGTACAGAACCCCAACCGGTATCTGCCGCATCTGTAACCAAAAAACTCTTTGCTAACGGTGGGTGAAGTCTGGCTATTTCCACACAATGCTCCTTCCACCGCTGCATTTCTTCCAAAACCTGTGTGGGCAAGGGGTAACTACCCTGAACCGGTAGTTTCAACAGACAATTGTTATGAGCCAAGAGATGACGAAAATTTAATCGACCCGTTGGTACAACCAGTCGTGCTTAATTCAAAACGCCGATGATGCTTTGAACCTCCCGCAGCGACGCCTTCTTCCGCTGAAGAAATCTCGACAGCATCCTTCGTAGACTCGTGTTAATCTTGAATCTTGTTCTCTGGCAAGAACTTGTGGTTGTTCCAGGGATCGCAAATGAAACATAGATGTTCTATAATCTTTTTTGGCTCTAAAATGGATTTTTCTTTGTTGACCTGCCAACCCAACTGTTCTAGAATCTGTATCACAATATTCCTGTGCATTATCAACACGACCCGGTCCTGAAACACAACTAAATAATCGTCCAGAAAAACAACTACTCGAATCCCTAGTTCCCTGAACACTTTTTCTGTCCAATTTGTCAGCGAAGCGAAAACTTTTGGAGTTGTGTCGCCAGACCAAATGGTAAACACGTCATTTGCAGGAGCTGACCTCGATAAATGAGGCGTAAGAAACAACGATGTGCTGGCGCAATATCCACATGATGATAAGCTTGTTGGAAGTCGATTTTGATCATCCAATCTTCTGTTTGCAAAAACCCCAAATGACATCAAATGAAATTTGTTTATTTTTAGGTAATTGTTCAACGCTTTTAGGTTGAATATAGTTCTATCGAATCAAATAAGAAAATAATTTGAGATAAAGCTTGGAGTCCAGGGAGAATACTCTAGTATTTTGCGATTTATTAAATTTTGATCACCACAGCCATCTCTGAAGATGGACGTGTGATGTTGCATCTCTTTTTGCTGATTGGAAACACCAAGGGCGGTGGTTTCCGGAAAGGGAGTCGATAACCTTTTATAATTTTTAGTATGGTGGGCGTTGCCCCCATCTTCTCCCACTCCGTTACATAATTTTGTAAACAACCCCCCTGGAATAAACTGTTCGAGTCAGTATTGTTTATGTTACTTGCCAGGGATCTTGCCCCGTGGCAGATTGTTTTGAGACTCATTTCGCCGAGCCAAGTTTGACTGAGAAAAACGGGGACCTGCCGTTTGTGACATGTGTGGTCGAAAAAATGTTTTGGGAATATTTACTTTGGGGTTAGTTAATATAATATGAACCCCCACCCTGAGGTGGCGAAAATCGAAAAGCCGTCAGTGCAGAGGCGCGACTGGCCGGCTGTGTTATACTAGAACTAGGAAAGTTAGCCCGAGTCCTAGAAGATTTAGTTGTTAAAAACGGTTTGTGTGTATTGAAAACTTTAAGGGACACCCCCACTATTACTTCCCCCCACACTTAATAAAATTACTAAACTCTTCTTTGACAAATAAAAAATCATTCGAAGGGAGTATCTTTTTTAAACAAAGGTGCAAAGATTTATCTTTTATATTTTGCATTATATTCTCTCACCGCTGCCCAATTATGTCTACTCTACGACCACATACTTTGAATTGAACACAATCACGTGTAATCTTCTGAAAATCACCTGAAAAAACATCTTTTTCACCTAGCATATCTGCGTTTAAATTTTCTTAATTTTTGGCCCAATCTATAATATTAGGTAAACCAAATGTCATGGCATCACTTTGCATAACTAATGCACGAGTCAGGGCACTTAAAAACTTATCCGACCCAACCAAGTAATTAGGTTTATCAAAATGTTTTATTTCGTCATTTACTCCGTATAACCAGGCGAAGCGTTGTATTGTTTTTGATAATCACTGTATCTTACATTATACCAATTTTTATTGTTAAAGTACTGTAATGAATTAATAACATTCAAATGTTCGTCGGAAGTAGCCGGCATCGAAGGTTGTCGCAGCTGTGATGCCAAACTCAAGTTAAAGGAATCGGTGATTTCTGGCTCACGTGATTCATGCATATCAAAATTATCATCTTTAGTAGGAGCATTGAAATTATTGTAAAACTTATTATGAGGGTAGTAAAAAAAAATTCTTAGTTCACAGACCTGTTGGGCGAGGTGTTTTAACCTTGCCTTGTCTACGACGACGCTTATTCCTCCCCTTCTTGCTACTTCTCTTGCGAGACTGCACCACCTCCGATGATCTCGAAGATTCATAGGAAGGTGACGATTCCGATGATGTTTCAGATTCACTGCCTACTTTATCCGACTTTACGACTGTTAACTAGTTATAAATAATTTGACTACGAACGTTAGCAACGTTTTTCTTGAGATGTTTACTGTTCCGAAAACAGGACGCCAATG